AATGCTAAGTCTTTTGGCTATATCACTGGCCTGAAAAATAACTAATTTAACGCGATCAAGGTATTTAAAACAAAAGTAATGCGAAGCCAACGTAACGGTAAAGACAATGCTAAAGTGAAATATTGTCGATTGGTTGCTAGCAGAAGATTTAAGACAGGATGAATCTTAAATAATCTTAAACTAGGGGAATAAATGTCCATATCAAAGACAAAGACCAGTGCCAAGGTATAAAATCTGCTCTGTAAACTTACGACGAAGTGGAGAAATGTGTGCATAAGCTGTTTATTTGGTGATTTCAACGTATATAGCAGCCCTCTTTCCAATAGTATTCGCTTATCGCACAGAATAACACCAACTGATATAATAGTTCAAATGCAATGATAAGTTACCTCTTGAATTACATCTCAGAAACTGTGTTGGAAATGGGAATGCTGACCCATTCCATAAGATTCCCGTTTTATATCTTGTATAAAACATTTTGATCGCATGTAAGGAATTATTTCTCATCCCAGAGATATAGCCCAACGACTTAACATTGACGTCCTTGTGATTTTATAGAGATACAGCCAGAACTGAGGATTTTACAAAGCGATATCGGTACCTTCCCAAAGTTGTAGACAAGACATGTGGTTTACGTCCAACACGCTTAAAATGACATAACTCAAAATAATTCGAGCAAAATTATTATTATTATTATTATTATTATTAAAATCCTTGTATGTTCCCCAAAGGGCTTTTCAGCATACAATTACAATATGCAATTTAAAATAAAGTTGTGCTATACTATTCAAAATCTAAGTTATGATATAAAACCTTCATATATATGATACTAAGAATTTAAAAGGTGTTCTTTTAGTTTTTTCTTAAAAACCTTCAGTCTGGAATCTTTTTCAGTTCATCATCAATATCGTTCCATATCTTAACTGCGCGATAATGAAATGTTCTTTGCCCTGCAGTAGTTTTATAGCTTGGAATATTTAAACAGTAGTTATTTCTAGTCTGGCAATTATGAATATCAGATCGCTTTGTGAATTTATTTACAAGGTAACTTGGCGCAAAGGTTGTTCAGACATTTATAAGCCATTGTCGTGTCTTTGTAAATAAGTAAGTTTTCAATAGATAGCCAGTTAAGTTCTTGAAGACCTGGTGTTACATGGTCAAACTTTTTTAAAACTCGTGATGATTCGGCATGCGAAGTTCTGGACTGTTTGCAATTTCTTTAGATTTTTCGATGACGTATTAGCCCACACCGAAGAACTATATAACAACTCGTTAATCACCAAAGCTTCAATAAGTAATATTAAAGGGTTTTTTATCACAGCTATCCTTTACTCGACTAATTTGACATAATTTGTTTATGCACGTTGACGACAGTTTAGAAATATGGTCATCATAGGAGAGATGTAAATCAAGGTGCATCCCCAAGTCTTTGACAACTGAAACTGGTTTAAGAGTTTTTCCGAGAAAGTTCAGATTGATTTGTGTTGGTAAATTCTGTAGCATTGATCTTGTGCCTACTAAGAGGAAGCATGTTCCAAGCACCATTTAGCGGTTTTATACAGATCGTTTTCTAGTTTAGCTATTGTCTGTTGTACGTCTTCGACAAGAAATGCAAGATGGAGTTTTGAATCGTCAACGTAAGAGTCGAGATCACTTGAAACCGTTACAGCTGGTAGATCATTAACGTAAATTCCCAAAATTGGTCCTTTGTTCAATGTAGAGACTGGTTCATAGGAATTAGTCATTTTGAGTTATGCAATCGTGTGTCTTCATCCATCCGTGTCGTTGAACAATGAAAACATTTGTTGTGAAATTAGCGAAGATAAAATAGCAGTTTGTGAGAAAACTGCAGGTCTAGGGTGTGGGAAGTCTTCGGATTTGAACTCAGCGTGTTTGAAAGAGTTAGTTCCCATAAAAATATTTCAGTTCCAAGACATGCTTAATGAAAATCGCTTTCTAGGCACTTTTCGAGTTCACAGCTAACGGCCTATGAGTCGAGTACTAATTTTTGTGGCGTTCGAAAGCAATTCTGCAATTTTGTGCGAAAGCAATTTCGTGCTTTTTGCCAACCGAGCGCGCCAGCCGATTATGGAACTTTCTTCATGAACCTTTTAGGGAGATTATTACAGAATGTGGTACCTCTAATCTTGATTCGGACAGCCCTGACAAGTGATCTAATCATTCATTGTATCGTTTGCCTTATTGCTGTTACTAGCTATCTGATGCGCGGTATTGTTATATCAGCACTTTTAAAGGGATATGGCAATCAAAATTAACTTTGTCTTATTTGAAAGAACATCTAAAATTATACATGAAGACCTTTTACACATTTTTCGTAATATTTTGACCAAAAACGGTGTGCAGTCCGCCATCTTGGTATTATAATTAACCTAATTAACTGAGTTTTTGATTGATGTCGTCACAAGCACGGTAAACTTGAGTTAATTGAGTACTAAAAGGACTTCTAAAATATTGATGACATATGGTTTCATATTGATGACATATGGTTTGCAAAATTTCGCTTTTTTACCCTGCTTAGCTACTTGTGACGTAAGTATATCGAATGCATATCCAAGATGGCGGAATGCACACTGCTTTTGATCAAAATAAGTCGATTTATTTCGAAAACCAAGCAAAATACGGAATAATTGTAAAGTTTGTCTTAACAAGCCTAATTTATATTACCATATCCCTTTAAACCAAATAATCCAATCTACATGCGTTTCACTGCATGTTATTAAAGGAATACCGAATGGTTTTCCGTGCAGGATTGCGTGATCCATGCACGAGGGATGTTGCCAGACTTTCGGAAAGCGTAAAAATACACGAGCCGTAGGCGAGTGTATTTTTACGCTTTCCGAAAGTCGAGCAACATCCCAAGTGCATGGATCATGCTATCCTGCACGGGAAAACCATTTGGTAATTGTTTTATAAAATTACTACAGTGAAACGACGCTTAACTTGATTAAAATTACTGATGAAATGTGCAGTTCTCACAACATTCGTGAATTAACCAATCAGAGAATCGCTACTCCACGCTATTGAAAACAACAACATATGTGAACAGAATTTGATCGCAAATTCGCGAAAGTATACAGCGAAAATACAGCGAAAATACTTTTTCGATAAAATATACGAAATTTGAAATGGAAAACCCGCTAAACAGAGAGCCAAAGTAGTTTTGAAGATTCTCGACCTGAATATGTGAAGATTACGAAGCGTTTGATCAACTTTGAAGCGACAGATGTTGTACTTGCATGCCATGGTCTGATGAATTTCAACGCTTACGCGTTGCTACTTGCTGAATAGCAATGTATCGATCAGAAATTTATTCATACAACTAAACCAACGTCTCAATAATTGGAAACTTACTTCAAAGTCGAAAGATATCGTACAATGAAACTTTACAATGCGAGTATATTTGTAAAATTATATGCAATAATTTCTGTTCAGAATTTCCCGTGCAGGATTGTCTGATCCTGCACGGCTGTTGAACAATCAAATTGCGTGTTTCACTGTAGTTATTATATAATGACATATCCGGCATGCCGCGATTTAGGGCTCGAATATACATCATCTGCACACCTCATATATCTTTAGTCTTCACTTGACTGTATCTTGCATTCTACTCTCTTGCGTAAAAATTATTTAACCGTATTTCGCTGAAAATGTCTTCAAGCAAATTGTATTCTGATACCGTACGGTCGGGAAGTTCTGACTAGGATGTAGTCTCTCCTGGACGTGGAGTATCAACATGAGTCAGAGGAGGTTGCTCTGCAGAAGTCTCTGCAATTAAGCAAGGTAAAATTCCCCCCTTTTTAAAATGAAATTAATATACAGTTATATATATACTATACTATAATATACCATACTTATTATATAACGTATAATGCTTTATAGAGATTTCGAGCACTGGTAAAACTGATTATCTCGCATGTGAGATTATTTATGATAATTTCACATGTGAAAACTAGAACAATACTAACTCGGGGTGTTAAGTTATCCGAGGCCTGTTTTATACGTCGAATTTTGGTCGCGCTGAATGCAATTCATACAATAGACTAGAAAATACATGCATGCAAAAACCCCTCGCCTTGCTGACAAAACCATTGTATTTTCCGAAGTCCGAACATGAAGTATTTAAAGTAGTTGTCATGGTGACACAATAATTTTGTTAAGAATATTTTTACAAATGAAAAAATCCCCTAAAAATATCACTTTTAAACATCAAAACAACGCGCTGTTTAAATCGTAGGGGTCTGGAAAAACCGGAAATTGATTCTGTAGGTCAAAGAAATCGTTCGTAATTCGCATGCCCAATATTCTTGCAGAAGGGACAACTTCGATCGGCCTAATTTGAAGCTCCTTGCATTTCTCTTCGTTTAACTGAAATTTATTTGCAGTTGATTTCCTTGTAAACTCGTCTACCGCAGAGGCGCAGCCAGGATTTTCGGTCAGAGGGGGCCGGCAAAAACCCAGGTGGGGCCAAGCCGCCAGTGGCTCGAGACGCAAAGTTCGCTCAAGAAAAGTTTTTACGGACCACACAACATTTTAAATCTTCTCCCCCCCCCCCGTCGGTTCCGTGTCACTTTTTCCGATTCTTCCGAAGCTTCACCGCGAAGATTCCGACAATTAACAGTAGAGAGTTTGAGCAAGAAAGCGAAGTCGGACGACGACAATGTGGACCGTGGTTGACAATTTTTGCCTGTCTTGCACATTATCTTATGCATTCTGAGTTTAGAGTCAGGCGTGAAGACAGATTCGAGATTTATGTCTAGCTGATTATGAATGCAGGCCCAAATCCTTACCCTGATCAGGACAAAACAGCGAGACATGAATCCATATCCCGTCTTCGTTCTTCTGCCTTGAAGTTTGTTCCATTCTCGTACCCAGAGCCCTTCTTATGCGCGGTGCAACCAGGGGCTCTGGCCAAATCCATATTCCGAACTTGCATCTGATTGGCTAGTTCTAACACCAGATATTGTTTTCTTACCATATGGTATCCGGTTATGGATTTGGCCAGAGCCCCTCATCGCACCGCGCGTAAGAAGGGCTCTGGGTACGAGAATGCCTTCGTTCACAACGAAAAATTCGCAAATATTTTGGCAAAATTCGCTGTGAACTTCGTTCCGAACGAAGGCAGAAGGACAAAGACGGGATATAGTTTCATGTCTCGCTGTTTTTTTCTGGGTCGGGGCAAGAATTAGGGTCAGTATGCACAAACAGCGACACATGGGAAGACACGTTGAGCAATCACCAGTGACGTCCAACTCAGTATGCGCAAGATAATGTACATGTCTACGGCAAAAATTGACAAGTATACGCCTTCGTCTTCGTACTTCGTTGTCTTGCTCAAACTCGCTATTGACAATTTTCCGACAGGTCTCAATTTTCCGATGGGTCTCCAACCCCCCGTCCCCTCCGGCCACGGCGCCACTGCCGAATCTGCATTAAAAATTCACTTGTAAAAGAAAACAGATTGGTTTAAACTTCATCCAACCCTCATTTAATACATATTGAAATAATTAGGGTTAGAAAAGGTATGTGTTTCAAGCTGTGTGCCGCAAATAAGCGAACAAGTGATTTTAGGTTTCACACCGATGCCCAGCAAAGCATATATTCTACAGAATTTTTGCATTATTGACAGCATGAAGCTATATAATCAAGAATTCCCTTTTTTATACAATACATTTTATAAGGGGGCCCCCAAAATTTTGCCAGGGGGGCTCCCAAAATTTTGCCAGGGGGGGCCGGGCCCCCCCGGCCCCAGCCCTGGCTACGCCTCTGGTATGTATGTATGTATGTAAACTTTATTTAAAGACGTTAGCCTCGTCAACGATTTGTTGATTTTCACGAGGGACGTCTGTTACTATTAAAACTTACAAATATGATATAGAAAAGAATAAAGAATTATATACAACTATTTACAATACAAGAATTAAGTTCCAAACGGTGTGACCCATATTTCTAAAGCATGCATATACAGTATATTAGAAGATGTTAGCGTGAAACTTTCAGGCAGTTTTTAAAAGAATAAATTGATTGCGCTAGCTTCGCATCAGAAGGAAGACTATTCCACAATTTAGCTCCGCTATACTTAAAGCTTTTTTTTAGAAATTCTCGTTTTGGCTTAGCAAGGGTAAGGTCAGTATAAGTATTGCGAAGATTATAACTGGTTTGAACAAGGTCCCTTCTCGTTAGAGCATCCTTCAAGTTCGGCCCAGCGCAATCATTCAGGACTTTATACATTAATGTGGATTTAGTTGTACGTTGTCTTATCTCTAAATTTTCCCAAGCAAGGGATCGAAGAACATCAGCAGACCTTATTTCATAGCTGGCGCCGGTTATAATTCTCGCTGCACGGTTTTGGAACTTTTGAAGCTTATCTTTCAGCTGTTGGTTACAGACGTCCCATAATGGACTACAATAATCAAAATACGGTTCTATCAAAGCTCTGTAAATGGTATGCAGGGTATTTATAGGAACATATGGCTTAATTCGTTGCATTGCTCCTATGCCGGCCCCAACTTTCTTACAAATCATTTCAACATGCTCATGCCAATTAAGGCATGAGCATGTTGAAATGACGACGATTGGATGCTACTGGCTTCATGTTTAAGGACAGTCTCGGAGATTGTAGTATCGTCCACATACTTCCATAAATCTATATCCGCTACTTCTAGGTCATTTATCATTATAGCAAAAAGCCAAGGACCCAATTTAGTCCCTTGGGGCACGCCAGCCGGAACCAAACCCCATTCAGAATAACAATCTCGGCTTAACTTGACGCGCTGTTTACGGTCTTTGAGAAAATTAACGATCCACCCAATGATTCGCTGTGGTATTTCTAAGGTAGTAAGCTTGTCTACGAGAATACCATGATCAATTAAGTCAAAGGCTTTTTTGAAATCAAAACGAACGACCCGCACCATAGAACCGCTTCCGTCCGTTTATTTTTTCCACTTATGTATCATGCTTATTAGTGCATGAGTCGTTGATGATTTGAGAATCGTTCCAAATTGATTTGTGTCAATCTTTCTAAGGACAGCAGGTTTAACAAAATTTTCGACAACGAAATCCTCCGCCACCTTTGATTCAACAGATGTTAATGAAATGGGGCGTAGGTGCTTATTCACGTCTTTTACAGGTTTCTGCTTTGGAAGAGGGACAATATGCGCTTCTTTCCAAGACTGCGGAAGATAGCTATCTCTATACAAAAGATTCAAAATCTCTTTTACAGGATCGGCCAGTAGATCAGCATTTTCCTACAGAACCCAGCTGGGTATCCCATCTGGAGCATTGGCTAGATTCACTTTTGACAATTTCATAAAAACCTCCTGCTCCGTAACCGTAAAAGCAGGTTCATCGCTGCCGAAATCAGTACAAGCGAAAAAGTCACTCGCTAAAGGGGAGAAGTCATTCATGAAAGAAAGAAAAATTCCATTGATAATATTGGCAAGATGTTTGGTTCTGAGAAACTCACATTGATTCTGAGAAAATTCTGCATAGTTTAGAAGATATTAAACTTTTTTCTCGATATGAAATACAGAATGTTGGGCCAAGCGGTGAGTAAATATATGATTGTTTTAGTTTGTGTAATGTTTTGACGGCATTTGACCCCCTCCCCCCCGGGATTACAATTGTGCTTTTCGTTTTAAAGGGGGGTATACTCGGTGAGATATTTACAATTAGAAACAATAAAAATCGTAAAAATGTACAATTTTGAATTGGGGCGTGACGAGAAATTAACCCGTTTACTGGCAGTACTCTACCCACTGACGAGTACAATTCTCTGGCGTTGATAGACAGTAAATACTAAAGTAGGGTGCATTGCCAGCTAATGGGTTAAGAGACATTGGCAGATGTGTTTGTTAACCCATTTACTGACAGTACAGATTACCACTGACAAGTAAAATCGTCTGGCGTTACACAGTGTAAATTTGTCTGGCGTTAGTTAAATTTAATACTAAAGTAATGAGCATTGCAAGCTAATAGGTAAATAGACCTTAATATTTACTTTTGACCCAATGGCCTCATTTTCATGTTGGTTATTTACTTGTATTCCGTGCACACAATTTAAGAATAAGTTTGTGATTGGGCTTAAATGATGAACGAGAAACAAATTTGTGCAGGAAACATAGGGGATATAACCTTCGTGTGCACGCCTGCCATGCTACCAATGTGAAACGTAGAAATGAGGCCATTGGGTCAAAAGTAATCTTCCCTGTCGAGAATTTTCTAGAAGTATAAACTTTTGCATTCAGTTCATGTGCCAAAAAGGCAGCACTTTCCTTGCGATAGTAACTCCTAGTTATATATTTGCACCATAGGCTCCCGAAAAGGTCTTTTACTTTTTTTAAATCCATACAATTTGCTTGCGGTTTACGATTTGTATTCTTGTCTATTGCACCATAACACGTATGTCGTCATTATCAGGTCAGTGTGAACGCCTGAGCAGGCGTCTTGTTTCACTAAGAATAGTTTTAAATTAAAAAATCCCCCCCCCCCCCCCCCCC